TGTGTGTGTGCATTATATGTTTGGAGTACAAACCTATCACATTCCTTGAAGGCAATTGCATGAGAAAACTTCAGAGTTTCCCCTTTTTTATCTTATGTCGCTCACCTTTTTCCCTACTCTCTCTTCAGTTGGCTTCCTTGCTGTGTACTAAAGATCTATCTCAACACTTACTACTGTCTGCATTTTCTTTTACTCTTTATTTATATTGTAGGTTTTCATATAATAGAAACCATGCAATATTTAAGTGCGTGTGTGTCTTATTTAGTTCACTTAACATTGGACCCTTTCTCCCTATACCTCTAGGAGTCCGCAGGTTTCACTTTAGTTCTGCAAATTGAATCACTTTCCCATGAGCCAGTAACCAGGGAAAAACTACAGTCTGATGTTTTTCCCTACTTAGCTGTGCAGACTGTCTATAAATTTCTCTGTGGTTGTTTTTATTGCACATGTCTGCAGTACAGAATGATCATTATGGAGGGATTATTTATGTACAAAAGTCATCTTACTGATTTTCTTGTCCCATTACCTCACTATTTATAAAAGCTGTATTTCCTTTTTCCTTTATTGTTGTCCTGTAAATCCTTTTTGCCTTCCTTCTCTTCCCACTTCTACCACCTCTTGTTCTCATTCTTACTTGAGCAAGTGATTCTTACTTCCATATATTTATCTTCAGCTTTGTTCCACGTTTATACTTTGGCTTTCCCAGACAGGAGAAACAATGCAGCATTTGAACTGCTGTGTCTGCTTTATTCCACTTTAGATATGGTCTCCAGGTGCATCCATTTAGCTAAAAATGTCTACAGTTGATCCTTATTTTTGACAAAGAAATTCTTCTTTGTGTATAAACACCACATTTTCTGGATCCATTCATTTGTTGACAGGCACATGGTTGTTTTACAGCAGCCAAATTTATATTTGCTAAACCCTGGAAGCACTCTCTGTAGTTCTGAACCTTTGTGTTAGTTCCTTCCAGATGGTTGGGGATCTACTTCTTTTTTCATTTGTTTTTTTTTTCTGTTTTCTCTCCTTCAGCTGGGATTTTCCAGTGCGTTGATTCCAGACATTAGAGAGGCTGAATCGCTGTTGCTCACCACTCTGCTATTCTCCAGCACGGCAGGACTGAAGGTAGCCCAGACCCATAACAAATGAGCCCACAGAGCCTGCCTTCCCTTGTTATGAGGCTGGAGTTTCTGCTCTGTGTGGCTGTATATGAGCTGTTCACACAATTCCTAAGTGTTTGGAGGTGGGAGAACTCAACAAGGTCAGCACCGTGGTCCAAGAGGAGACCACAAGTCAGTAGAGGGAGCTATGTAAGGTTCGTAAGTGGAAGACCCCAGGAGCTGACAGACCCAATGTGTGGGCTGATCCTGAGGAATGTGGGTGCCTGCAGCCAAGAAACAGCAGACTCGTTGTCTTGTTCAGCAGGCCAGGCCTGGGAAGTGATAATTTTCTTGATTTCTTCCTCCATGGCCTGGAACGAGAGTCTGCAGGGGATGACGTCTTGGTCTCAAAAGGATCAAACAGTTCTTCGCAGGTGGGGTGGAGCTGAGGGAGGGCAAGGTCCAACGTGAGAATGATGCAGAAAGTACAGAAGCACATATGGGCTATCTTACTGATGTTTTCATTGTTCAGACACAATATCTGACATCTGTAGATTAGTGGAAAACAAGTTGATTTGGGCACACAATTTATAGAATTTCCAATGCATATTCACGCCATATTCAATCCACTCTGAGGTAGAAAAGCAGGGTGAAGGCATTTTCAGAGGAACCCTACTCACCACAAGTCCTCCAGGAAGCAGAGGATGAAGGAGAAGCCAGAAAGAGAGATAAAACCTCCCTGTCACACAGTTACCCTCCTCTTCCTAAAAGGCCCCACCTCCTAACAGCACATCAGCTGTTAGCCCCCATAATGCAGTCATCTTCCAGTGGTCCTGCCTATGATCACTCAGGACTTCTCTGGGAAATGCAGACTTAAGTCATAACAGGGGTCCAGAATCACCCAGAATCACAGGCAAGATGGACACAGGTCCTGCTGTCAGCACTGAATTCCTCATGCAGGAGTGACATGATGGGGGCCTGCTCACTACCTTTGAGAATACTGAATCTCAGGGAAGTAAGGGATGAGGTCTGAGTTGGGATCTTCAGGTTGGCACAGGGAACTCCCTGTGGTCAGGAGATGCACAAGTAATGCAGAATGTGCCAAGAGTGAAGGCGAGGAACTTCAGGGAGGATTGAGGTTACTCTTGAACTGAACATGGATGGGCGCATGGTCCTCTGACCTTGGACCTGTGCTTCCCGTCATGCCCTGAAGCCTGGCCACGGCTGTCAGCCTGAGGCTGCTCTCTTAGTTCTGTCTCATTGTGCTCAGTGAGGTGAGGGCCTCGGTACAAGGGGGCTGGAAGCAGGTCAACAGAAGTAGGATCCCAGCACCTATCAAAGCTCTAGGTGAGGCAGAGGAAATCCGTTCAACTGAAGACAAAGCATCCTGTCTTCAACCTGTCCTGTTTGTAACCTGTAGTCAGACCCAGGTAACATAGGTGGTGCCCTGGGCCCCAATGTTTTCTTTGAGTGTGTCACTGCAGTATTGCTGTGTTTTAAGCATGTAGCACCAAGTCATTGCCCAGAGGGTCCCAGATATAACCATTTATCAAGGTAAAGGTGGATCTGGTTCTTTTTTGGGAATATGAACCACACCGAACTTTGTGAAGTTTGGATCTTGCCTCAAGACAGGTTGACCATACATGGTGTCACCACAGGGGCATTATTCACTGTCAGGGAGCATCGCACTAAGGAGACAGCCAAAGAGATGACCTGTAATGGGCCTTTGTGTAAGGCAATGAGAGTCCGATCCTTACCTGAAAACACTAATAATCTCCCTCTGTCCTGCAGGCATCTGAATCCTCAAAAACAAGGTCTTGCTGTCCTCAGAGAACATCAGGATGCTTCGTGGTCAAGGCAGGAAAGACAGCAAGCTCGGAGGAGGCCATGCTGGCCAGAGAAGTGCGCAGGGCTCCATGGGTGTACAAGGTCTCAAGGATGAGAAGGAAGCAGCAGCCAGTGCTGCCTCCCAATCCTCTTCTTCCTATGCTTTAATGGGGGCCACAGCAAGAGAAGAGCCTGGGCTGGGGATTCCCCTCGCTGCCATGGCTCCCATTGAAAGCAGTCAATGTTGTGAGGGATCCACGTCGCAAGAAGTGGATGGTCCAGGTCTCTCCCAGAATAAGGAGACACCTCAAATCACGCCGACTGAATTTGTAAGTGCTAAGTTAGAGAAGATTGTGCGGTTTCTGCTTCAGAAGTATCAAAAGAAGGAGCAGATCACCATGGAAGAAATGATGCACATTGTGGATGATGATTCCCATGATGACTTCCCTATGATCATTAGGAAAATCTGTGATTGCATGCGTCTGTGTTTCGGAATTATTATGAAGGAAGTGGATTGCCCTGGACACAAATATGAGCTTGTCCCTGTCTTGGGCCTCACTTATACAGGGATACTGGATGATGATGACCAGATTATTCCTAAAGCTGACCTCCTGATAGTCGTTCTGAGTGTCATATTCCTAAAGGGCAACCGAGTCAGTGAAGAGTACCTTAGGGAAATTGTGAGACATAGGAAGAACTTAGCTGAGAGGAAGCACATTGTCATTGGTGAGCACTGGGAATTCATCACCAAGGATTTGGTCCGGGAAGAGTACCTGGTGTACCAGCAGGTTCCACATAGTGATCCTCCTCGCTATGAGTTCCTGTGGGGTCCAAGAGCCCTTGCAGAAACCACCAGGATGAAAGTACTAGAGCATGTGCTCATGCTTGATGGGACAGATCCCAGGTCTCACCCAGAACTCCATGAGCAGGCTTTGAGAGCAGAAAGAGGTATTTTGAGTGCCTCTGCAGGGCTAGATGAGTCACAGTGACAAAATGTTCCACAGCACTTCACAGGCTTAGTTCCCACCTCCTGTGAAATGAGACCAATTTGCAGTCTGTGTTTCAGGAGAGCAGGAAGTTTTCTAAGTAGTGGAGGGGGAAGGCAAGGGATGAAATACCATGCATAGCAGTTTGATGTCTCTTCTCTTTGTGCTACTTGCAGATTGAGATGTGTTTTGCTTATGACTTTTTGAAATCATGTTCTTTTGAAGGACTGAAATATCATGAAAATCTGATTTGATGGGTGGTTCTAATCTCACATGTATATTCCTTTCCTGATATTATCATATAATTGTGAATTCTGACATGAAAGTGATTTTCTTTGACCTTGATCACAAATGGATTTTGCTTTTGAATTTCAAATGTAAGAGGTTTTCCTGTTTTGTCAAATAAATAAGGAAACCTTTTATTTTTTATGATAAAATATGGTTGGCATAGGAGTTTTCTTGGAAATGTGTAAGAAGTTTACATGAATTTAGATGGGACCTAGAAATGGATATACTGATAAAATCATTTCTTGAATTTTTATTTCTTTTGCTTGCCTTATACTATTAAAATATATGTGCACCAGAATTTGCTTGGCTTCTTCAGTTATACTCAGGAAATTACTGTTGATAAAGAAGCCCATCTGCTCATAGACACAGTGAGCCCCAAACTGTTTTTAATAGTAGATAAATTTAATGGAGAAAAAGAATAGGGAATAGGAATGGAGGAATGGGGATGAGGAACCGCTCCTGAGAGACAGGAGGTGTCCCAGATGTGTTGCCAATGAGCCCACCTCTCAAAGGAAATTTTGTGGAGCAAAATCATGTGGTGAGTAGTACATGGGGAAAGATTATCATAAACCAATAAGATTGCAGTATAGTCACTAGGAAATATTGATCAGTGGTAGCAAGGCTACATGATGACATCATTAACCTTGGTCAGTAATCTGTAGTCCTACTCTTGTCTTTAGTCTTAGCAGGCTTAGTCTCAGTCTCAATCTTAATCTTGTTGTTTTAGCCTTAGTAGGTGGGGGAGGGTGGCCCACCCATAATGAGATAATGGGAAGTCACAAAAAGATGATGCCAAGAATCTCAAGCCTCCAGTCTTGATCACTTTTCTCTCATTGCTGGGACAAAATACCTGACACCCAAAATTAATGAAGGAAAGTTTTATTTAGATCGTGCTGTGTGGAGATTTCTGTCTCTAATCAGCTTGCTCTAAGGTAGAGCTAAATGGTGCAGGGGCAACAATACAAGGTGGCAGAAGACAGCAAAAGCAGCAAGAACACAAGGGGGAAAACAAGCCTCTTTTACTCCCTCATCTTGCATGCTGGCTACCCACCCTGAGGTGGGGAAGTCCTTTACACCCACACCATATCCGTATCTTCCTCTTACCCAGGCTCAGGGTGAATATAAAGTAAGCACCGGGGCGACCTGCTGAATCACTTAGTGTTATGGTTTGTGTGTGGGTGCCCCCCCAAGCGTCATGCGGCCATGGGGCAGGCTTTTAGAGTTTGATTATGGGTGTAAGAGCTACACCCACCCTGGGGTGGATAATTTGCATGTGTAAGGGAGAGGAAAAGGGTGCTTGAGGCCATTCCACCCTGGTGTGTGCTTGTTTGTTCACTGTGTTCGGACACCATGAGCTGTAGCTCTCTGCCGTGTGCTAGTCTGCCTTGTAACCTGCCAAGTATGGACTGAAACCTCCACAAACTTTAAGTGAAATAAACCTTTCCTTCCTTCATTTTGGGCATCAGGTATTTTGTCCCAGCAACGAGAGAAAAGTAACTAAGACAGAACTTGGTACCAGGAGTGGGGTCGTTGCTGTGACTGTACCTGACCATGTGGTTCAAGAGCCTTGGGAAATGGCTTGTGGGAAGTGTTTGGAAAGGTTTGGAGTTGTAGCCTGAAAGAGAAGCACTCGAATGCCTTCAGCTGTTCTGTTTGGGAGATTCTGGTCAGAGCTCAGAAGACCAGAAAGCTGATAGAAATCTTGCCAGTAAAGACCAGG